GTGACCGAGACACATCTCCGGCCAATAACCAATAGCGGAACCTGGATGCTCATATTGGCTCCTACATATCCTACGAAGATCTTTATCGGTCAAACCACATAACAACTTACATCATTCCCTTTGTCATCGGTATGTTACTTGCCCGATATTTGATCGTCGGTATCATCATACCTAGTTCAATCTTGTTACCGGCAAGTATCTTTACTCGTTCTGTAATGCATCATCCCGTAACTAACTCATCAGTCACATTGCTTGCAAGGCTTATAGCGATGTGCATTACGGAGAGGGCCTAGAGATACCTCTCCGATACTCGGAGTGACAAATCCTAATCTTGATCTATGCCAACTCAACAAACACCATCTGAGACACCTGTAGAGCATTTTTATAATCACACAGTTATGTTGTGACGTTTGATAGCACACAAAGTGTTCCTCCGGTATTCGGGAGTTGCATAATCTCATAGTCAGAGGAATATGTATAAGTCATGAAGAAAGCAATAGCAATAAAACTAAACGATCATAATGCTAAGCTAACGAATGGGTCTTGTCCATCACATCATTCTCTAATGATGTGATCCTGTTCATCAAATGACAACACATGTCTATGGTCAGAAAACTTAACCATCTTTGATTAACGAGCTACTCTAGTAAAGGCATACTAGGGACACTCTGTTTGTCTATGTATTCACACATGTACTAAGTTTCCGGTTAATACAATTCTAGCATGAATAATAAATATTTATCATGATATAAGTAAATATAAATAAAAACTTTATTATTGCCGCTAGGGCATATTTCCTTCAATACTTGTAGCGAAAAGGACAATACAAGGGCATTCATAATAAAACCAATGAATCAACATATCTAGTCAAGCTCATTTCCACATAATAAGGTTGTCAAAGTACTTCTAAGGGCATCTTCAAAGGTAACCCGCAAAAAACCTCCCGCATCCATCCACGGACAGGGTGGACCAGTCCATAGACATGGATGCGGGAGACAGCCATCCAACGCTAGCCGCATACATTTTCAATACACACTTCCTACGATGCCCCTGTTGCAAACAATGACTCGATGCCTATGCTGTGACCATTCATTCCAACAGAAGAAGAATGGCATCAGAAGGAAGGATGGGCCAGCAGTGAGTGGTGGAAGCTGTTAGATTCATCTCGCGAGCTTATTTTTTTTAGTTTGTGGTGCTGCTGTTGGGGAAACAATTTGGTAGGGTGATGGTATGGAATGTTTCATCCAATGTGTTGACTGACTTGCACTTGGAGTGCATGAATGAATTTTGGAATCAACAACACCACACCATTCTTGTTGATTTGGATTCTTTCCGACGTGTTATGCTGCCAAAATTTCAAGCCATGACTTGTTCAAATTTTGGCTTTGTTTGTAGACACAAAAACTTTTCGGTCTCCACTCCAAAATGCTAGGGTCTTTTTTTGAGAGAAACAAACCTATTGGGTCTTCGCTGCAAAAATATGTTTGAGCTTGATGTTATTTTGCCGGCTAAAAGGGAAATTTTTGTTACCTCCTTGGGTCATATGGGTTCTTTGTTAGTCCCCCCGAGCACCCTTGTATCTTGTCATTGTCTTCTATTTTATGTTGTGGTGTTGTGTTGTTCTGTTGGCTGTAAGGGTTTCACCAATTTAAAGCCGGGGGATAGCATTTTTTCTAAAAAAACACGCGCTCACAAATTTTGGTTGCCAGTGTGAAGTAAGGCCTCCCTACCACCCTACAACCAGAATATGTATTATCAACAATGAGTGATAATAAGTCAAAAATGGTCATATTTCATAGGAGCATAGGAGGCGCGCAACAAAGGAGGGGCGAAAGATTCCGACAATGTTTTTAATCGTTTTGGGAGAGTCCAATGCCTCGCCAAACTTCCATTGTTTGCTCTCCTGGTCCTAATTAGACGGGAACGCCTCTAAGCTTCTCTCTCTCTAGTTTTTCGGAGCTCTTCTTCCTAGATGTCAAAGTGTTGCCAGATTACTACTTTGAAACATGTCGATACCTCAGAGGGGTCGTCTACTTCAAATCTTGATCGGAGAATCGTCTTAGAGAAATTTGTGTAGTCAACGTTCACACGACACCACTAGAGGAAGAACAACATAACACATCATCAAAACATTAAACAAAAACCAACTTCATATGATTGCTTATAACAAGATTTCTCCCATGTCCTCAAGAACAAATGTGACTACTCTCAAGTCATGTTCATGTTAATGATCAGCGGAGAATAATATATGATTAACAATACGAACATATGATCTTTCACCAAATAAACCAACTAGCACATCAACTACAATATGTAAACACTACTAGCAACCTGTAGGTATCAACCTGAGGATTGAAACAAAGATTGAATACAAGAGATGAACTAGGGTTTGTAGATAAGATGGTGCTAGTGAAGATGTTGATGGGGATGAGAAGAATGTTGGTGATGATGAGGGCTTCGATTTCCCCCTCCCGGAGGGAAGTATCCCCAGTGAAATCGTTCCACTAGAGAGCCAAAGTGCTCCTGCCCAGGTTTTGCCTCGAGACTGCGGCGCTTCGTCACAAAAGTCTTCTTATTAATTTTTCTAGGGAAGATGGTATCATACAACAAAAGATGGGCCTCGGAGGCCTGTTGTGTATCCCACAAGCACACATGGCGTGCCTGGGGGCACCGGAGCTTGTGGGTCCCTGTTGGGCTCCCTACAGTAGATTTTTCTTCCAGTATTTTTTTATGTTCCAAAATAAATCTCTGTAAGTTTTCAGGTCATTTGCTGCAAAGAATAGCTATCTCTGTTGTAGCTCTTTTCAAGTCCAGAATTCCAGCTGCCGGCAATCTCCCCCTTATGATGCAACTTGCAATTTAAGAGAGAAAAAGCATTAGAATTACATCTAAAAGTGAAATATAACTTTAAAACAATAAAAATAACAATACGAAAACATGATGCAAAATCGACGTATCATGCCTCCCATTGGGTAATGGCGTTAGTTTCCATCCACGCTCGAGTGAAAGCATCCCATCATCGGACGACATGACACCCTTCGAGACGGTGTGAGGGAGCAGGGGGGTCATTTCCACAATGGAACTGGAAGGCGCTCAAGTGTTGGAAAACCAAGCGATGGTGATGGTATGACCTTTGTTGACATATAGTCTTCTTCTCGAGTTTACCTCGTCTGTTGCTTCAGTCCTTTAATCCCGTATGAGGGCTCCGATGACTCGGAGCGATGCTCAACTCTTTCTTGTTATCTCTTTGGGTCATATGGGTTCTTTGTTACTCCACTTGAGCATCCTTGTATCTTGTCATTGTCTTTTATTTATGTTGTGGTGTTGTGTTGTTCTGTTGGTTGTACTAATTTAAAGCCAGGCGGTAGCCTTTTTTCTAAAAAAAAACACGTGCTCACAAAGTTGGTTTCTAATGTGGAGTAAGGCCTCCCTGCAATTAGAATATGTATTATCATTAATGACAATCCCACGTCAAGGTTATTCATGTTACACGTATAACAAACAATCCTAATTGTGACACACGTAATAAGTAAAAAAAAATGGGCCTCTTATGAAGTCCAATGCCTCGCCAAACTTCCAGAAATGTGTGTCTACAACTTAAAAAAACTGAATTTTGAAATTGCAAGCTTCTATAAATTTTCCGAACAAACTTGTAGGATCTTTTAGTTTTGAAATTTTCCACAAAAATGGAATTTTAGTCTTTTTGAATTTTCAAAAATTCAAACTTTTAGAATATTCAACTTTCAAGAACTTTCATAAATTATGAAAATTTGAACCCCTAGATTTTGGATGTTCATTTTTTGAAAGAGGAAAATGAAAAAAATGCCATGGTCCCTGCGGTAGGGGAAAGTATCTAGTGCTCCCAGGCCTAGGGTGCTCCCGTTGCTCCGATGCGAAAAATATTTTTTTTAAATGCTCAAAAAATTCTGAAAAAAAAGGCAGCGCATCGACGGAACATCAATGTCTCTTGTCACAAAATTTCAAATAAAAAATCGAAACATTGCTCGAGATACAAAAATGATAAATTTGACATCAATGTGATAATTGGCCAAAACTAAAGCCCAGCTTATGTTATGTACAAAAATTTGTCATTTTTGTATCTCGAGCAATGTTTCGAATTTTGATTTGAAATTTTGTGACAAGAGACATCGATGTTCCGTCGATCTGCTATATTTTTTCAGAATTTTTGAACATTTTAAAAATGTTTTTCGTACATTTGGAGCATCGGGAGAACCCCAAGCCTGGGAGCACTAGATACTTTCCCCCTGCGGTAGGCCTCCCCCAAGCTATAGCGCGTGTCGTGAAGGTAATCTTTCAACGTGTGCACTACGTGCTTGCGCGCGGCCCTCCTCGAGCATGTCCGGACATGCAACACGTGCATGGGGTCCTCCACAGCATGTGGCACACCTATAAGGGCATGGCCAACGCTCCACTGTGGACTGATGCCCCAACACTATACGTTACTCTCAAATGTCCAGCTAGGCTCAACCTACTGTTTGTAGACTAAAGTGGGATCTGGAAGAGGTAGGATCTTGGCTGCCAAAAGTATGGGAGAAGGGGCAAAAGCAAGGGAAATGAGAGGAGCCAGCCCTGCTCGTGACTGTGAAGTACAGCAAAAAGACGATGTATATGTCATACTATGGGCCTGCTGGGGCAGCTGTATGCGTTGAGTATTTGAGAAATTAAATAGTGTCCCATCCATCTTTACTTATGTGGAAAGGGTTAGGCACTAGGAAGGTGATGTCTCTATTGTACATGCCCTAAGGTGCATTCTCTTGCTCGTGGTCAACTGCGGATGCGTCAGTTTTCAGCTAAAAGATACTTTATATTTGACCAACATACAAAATCTCATGCACAGTAGTGATCAATGCAATCCAAATTTTTGGTATGAAATCAAAGTACATATATATCCAATTTTGCCACAAGCAATTCTAAACTATTCCAAAAAACAATTGTGTTAACTGAAGCCGAAAAATAGTATTTGCAGCAGCAGTTAGAGATCAGGCTGAAGCATCGACGACGGCGTTGGCGAACCATGGTCGCCTGAGCGCGGTGGTGGCCGACAACCTCTTGTCGATGTTGCACGAGAGGAGCCCCTTGAGGACTTCGAAGCCTTCTTTGGAGAGGCAGTCCTCGGGAAAGTGCTGACGGAGCTTGTTGCGGGAAATGACATGCGGCGGCATCACCAGCTTCCCGGCGAGCGGCAATGACTCGTAGGCTGGCCAGATGGTGAACAATGGCACGCCGAGAACGCGGAAGATGGCGAGGACCTGTTGGGCGTCGTCGTCCCCGTCGAAGAGCGGCTTCCCGGAGAGGAGCTCGGCCATGACGCAGCCGAGGGACCACATGTCAACCGTGGCGTCGTAGTCGGTCTTGCCGAGGAGCATCTCCGGGGCCATGTACCGGCGTGTGCCGTGCTGGCCATACGGCGCGGGCTCGGACATGGACAGCGCGAGCCCTAGGTCGCAGATCTTGATGTTGCGGATGCCGTCCGCGCCGACGAGGATGTTCCCCGGCTTGATGTCGCGGTGGATGATGCGGAGCCCGTGCATGTGCTTGGCGGCGCCGAGGAGCTGCTCCATGATGCAGCGCACGTCGGGCTCGGGGAACGGCCGGCCTTGCCGGTGCTGATGGAGGACGTCGTGCAGGCTGGGCCCGACGCACTCCATCACGACGGAGAGCTTCCGGGCGAAGGGGTCGAGCGAGAGCGCCCGGAGCTCGACGATGGCGCGGTGGCGGTGGCACGCGGCGAGGAACGCCGCCTCGCGCAACGTACGGGCGTCGGCGCAGCCGCAGCAGGCGACGCCGACGGCCTCGTGCGCGCAGGGGAGCGGCTTCTTGACGGCGACGGTCCAGCCGTTGGTGAGGTGGCGCGCCTCCACGACGCCGCCAAAGCCGCCCTCGCCGAGCACGCGCGTCTCCTGGTAGTCGGTGGAGCTCCAGTAGCGCGCCCTCTTGCAGAAGGCGAGCCTCGGGGCGCCGCCGCTGGTGTCCACCTTGAAGTCGGGGTGGTCGCCAGGGAAGACGCGCTTGATGGCCATCAGGGAGGAGAAGGAGGTCGATGGAAGCGCGGCCGAAAAGGAAAGGAAACGAGGAGAGGATCGCATGGTGGCGGAGCCGCGGAGGTATATATTGAGGCTGGGATGCTCAGCGTCAGCGTGACGTGCTCGACTGGTGCCCGGACTGGAGGACGAGGTCAACGCGCTGCCTGGCGTGGGCGAGACTGCAACGGAAGCTTGTACGTACGCGTTCGGATTCGTAGCCGGAGACGAAGTGGAAAAGGGACTGCCCGATTTCGATTTTGCTGCGTACCTATTGTAAACGGGATATCCGTGCATGGATATATGTGGTTGCTTTAATATTCACGCTAATTTTTTTTGTTGTTGTAGAAACTTATCTAGTTTCAAAATGTTTGTTCATTATTATTTTTAACATTAGTACAGACACAAACGCTCATATACACGCGCATACAGTCGCCCCTATAAACGCACACACGCACACTCTTCTCCTACGAGCACATTCGAAAGACTGAGCCGGCATATCATTTTGAGATTTACGAAGTTACCGTAGACGCCTCGTCATCGACGGGAACGTCTCCTCCCACTGAATGCGCATCGCCGAAAATCATGAAATAAATCCAGGAATAAATACGAGCACCAGGTTTTGAACCCTTGTGGGCTGGGATACCACAGTCCCTCTAACCATCCAACCACATGTTGGTTCGCGTTCATTCTTTATTTCAATGTGTATTAATCGTGTTTCTTTATGTGCCAATAAAAAAGATGCTCTTGTTTGGATCGGTTTTAATATGCACGATAATATACGATGAGACATTAATATACACTATGGAACGCGAAGAAAAGCCGAATGTAACATGAATCTCAAATGCTGAAAATGGTAAAAAAAACGTAACATGAATCTCAAAGCAACCATAGACGATGGATCCGTAC